AATCGGTCGAGCAGCGTTAGCCGTGGGTTGCTGAAACAAGGCACTTTCCAGACTTGAAGTCGAAAGTCTGTAAATTGGGGCCACATGCTGCAACCCTATGGTAGCACTCTGTCACCGCAGAGGCTGGTGAACAGTAAACGTCAGTGTTGGACATTGAACGTTGAAGGTCTATCTGGTGCGCGTCTTCGAAGCTTCTGACTGAAAGCTTGGCTTGCTTGGCCGAGCCTCGTAGCAGTCACCAAAGGGCCCAAAGGCAGCATGGATTCGTGAGAACGCGACTGAAGCAATCAGGAATGCATCACAAACCCTCGAATGCCCAGCAATGACTTGCAGATGCTCATGTTCGGAGCAAGTTCCTACAAGACTGCCCTTGGTCTCTCACAGGCCGAACCGGCTCGGCGGCAATGACTGGCTGTGCGGACCCCGTCCTCGTGCAAGTTTTCTGCCGCGGGGCGATACTGATATAGTTACGGGGTTCTCGGTGTTAACTTTCTCTTCCAACCCTTGAAACCAAAACAAGAAACAAAACTCTCAACCCAAATCCTTTGCAACCTTTAAACCTTTCAGCTGTGGCTTGCGGCCCTTGGGTCTGGGTCGCAGCCAGACATGTCTGGCCCGACGATCAACGGAAGGGAGCAGTTAACCGGCCAGTGTGTGGAATTTTCTTCAGAACTATAAGGTGGCACATACAGTGATGACGATGGTAAAGGCGGACATTGTTGGTGCGAAATGCTTGTTGTTGAGGAGGCTCACATGCGAGGGCTACTTGTCTGTGAACCACAGTCAATCGTGCCGAAGTGCACTTCAGCAACACATCCGTCCCACGAGGGCCTGCAGAAGACGCTGTTGCCGTCGTAACGGCACCACAGTGTCCATTGCGCAACCTGCAAGGCAGTCGGATTAGGACTGTCGACCCCCGGAGCGAAGATCTTGCTTTGCGATTCCGCAGTTGTGGGTTGGAACTTGTGCAGGCGTGAGTAGGCTCACAACAGAAACAACATTTAGCAGGGTCTGGATGTTTTTTGGGTTCGAGCTAGGAACGTGCTCAGACATAGCTCTGCTACCCTAGAGTTTCCTGCAGCTGCCTCATGTCCGAAAGGCTTCCAGATCTCAACTGCTGTCACGCGTGCCCTCGCTGCAAGTGAAGACACATCGGTTTGCAAGGTTTCAGCCAAGCAGGACGGACCAGAAATTGTGGGTCCTCTTTGAGAGCATCCAAATCGGGGATCAGGTCAAATCGAGTCTCAGTTGGGAGAACCCCGCGCATTTCGATTTGTCCTCTCCCTGCTTGACTGCAAGCACCTCTGTGGTGGCTGGAGGTGAGGCATCATCTCATGAGGTTCGCCCCGACCAAAACTTGATGGGATAATGAACTTGGGCTTCCACTGAAGCTTTCGGAGGGTTGCATCATGAGAAGATTGATTCTCTGGTGTTCGTAACCACGTAATCATTGTCAACAAATTTAGACGTGCTCAGTGGTGAAGTGATGCAAAAGCCCGCCCCTCCACCAAGCAGGAAGCTTGAAACCACCGAGAAATACTGTACCATGACCAGACCTCGTGGCTTCGCGCCTCCGTCGCCAACCTGCCTGTGCGTATGATCAGGTTTGGGGCTATGGGCGTTTAGGGTTGGCAGGCGGGCTTTCACCACTGGGCACGTCTAAATTTGTTGACAAATGATTCCGTGGTTACGAACACCAGAGAATCAATCTTCTCATGATGCAACCCTCCGAAAGCTTCAGTGGAAGCCCAAGCTCATTATCCCATCAAGTTTTGGTCGGGGCGAACCTCGTGAGATGATGCCTCACCTCCAGCCACCACAGAGGTGCTTGCAGTCAAGCAGGGAGAGGACAAATCGAAATGCGCGGGGTTCTCCCAACTGAGACTCGATTTGACCTGATCCCCGATTTGGATGCTCTCAAAGAGGACCCACAATTTCTGGTCCGTCCTGCTTGGCTGAAACCTTGCAAACCGATGTGTCTTTCACCTGCAGCGAGGGCACGCGTGACAGCAGTTGAGATCTGGAAGCCTTTCGGACATGAGGCAGCTGCAGGGAACCCGAGGGTAGCAGAGCTATGTCTGAGCACGTTGTTAGCTCGAACCCAAAAAACAACCAGCAAAAACGAAACAAAGTGAAGGACATGAAGAGATCCGGGGCTTTCGAAAGGTACGCTGTGAAGTCCTAGAAGCAAACAGTCCGAAGCACCTACTGAGTCGATACTTGGATTCATGACGTATCTACCTTCTGGCATCCTAAAAACTCCCTGCCGCGGAAGCTACTGCAGCACGAGTGGTGCCAGAACCAAAAGCTAAACCCCACCCGCCCAACTTCCTAACCATACATCTCCTGACCACACCTCCGCGCTTCCCAAGGCATTAGCCGCGTAGCCCACAGGTTTCGGGGTTTGGTGTTTAGGCACGATCATGCTTTTTAGATCCATCCCTACCTCAGGCTCCTCACGATGCACTACTAGTACCAACGGCACTCTGGGCCTCCAGCAGCATGAAGTTTTAGCAAACTCAGCAGGCATGGTGAAGAAGTTTGTCTTTCATGGGCGAAGCAAACTCTACTGCCTGGAGAATCGGCTGTGTTTCTCCTAGCAAAAACAGACCAACATCACGACTGCTAACAACGATCTTGCACATGCAACCCTGCCGCAACTGCACAATAAAGGCTCAAGAATTAATGTATTTTTTTGGTTTTTTCCTGTCCCAGGAGCAGCTGCAACTATGGGCAGGTGGCGTTTAGTTTCTCCTTTTGAACTCTATAAACTGCAGAGTACAGCTGAGCTGCCAAAATGTGTGGCCAAACGAGGTCGTGCTGTCACGAACCCTATGGCGTGCCTGTTGAGGTGCAGCCATCTGGCCGGGAAAGCCTTCGTTGCCCACACTGGGCTCAGAAACCTCTCCGCGTGGAGCACGGGCGGCTGCTTCATGGAACGACTTCCTTCTTTCGTGCCTCTGCGCCTGTGGCAAGACACTGGCCGGAGTGGTTGCCACCAAGCTGTGGCTCCGGGGACGCCTGCTGGCAGGTTTCGGTCGACAAGAAATAAATTCACCCTTTCATCAGGTAAACAACCTCATTTGTGACTTGACTGACAGAAAAGACTGTCTGACACGTGACGTATTTCGAACTTGGCATGGGCAATATATTCATTAGGTGTTTAACTTCATGCAACAGGCCGCTGCGGGACTGGACAACTGCCTGTCACAAGAGGGTAGGCAATTGTCAGTGTGTGCGAGAAGGTTATAAAGCACCACAACCCGTACTTGCGCTCATACTATATGATTATACATGAACAAAAGAGTGTCTCTGCAGCGAAAATTTTGAAAAGGCCTGCCCGGAAGGGCTTTGGCTCTGCTCCGGCACACTCGCTAACAACTATAGTCCTGCTCAGGAACACTATCGGCCAAACTCCGAAAACACAACTGCATGACGAAGATGGCCGAAGGGTGTGTCCGTTCCATGGTCCAAGCTTCAACTTCAGATCAATAGATTCGCAGACTTGTCCTACACAGTATAATATCTCAATGGAGCAGGTTGTTGGTCTAGCAGATGTCTAGCAGTCTGGCACATGCTCAGCTGCACTTCCCTGTGCAATATTCCAAGCCCTTTCCGGCCTCTGTGGGTGTCGCAAGGCACTGCCCACACTGGCTGCCACTGTCCACAGGCTCCTGTGGAGGGAAAACTTCATGTTACATGGGCCCAGTTGGGTGTGTGCAGACTGGACTGTAACAGTCACACATGCGATTGCAACTGCAGGGAAATGACTGCCCAAAGCCAACACCGTACAGAACACAGTACACAGCACGGGAGGCCTTTTGACAAGTCGTGAAAGCCGAACGTGCATGTCGCGAGCAGTGGGGGAGGGAGCCGCTGGGCGCAGGGAATTAGGAAATATTAGAATTGTTTTTTGTGTTTTTCCTTTCCCAGAGCAGCTGCAACCATGGGCAGGTAGACATTCCCTTCTAAACTCACATTATTCACACTTTTCTTCACGCTTTACGTAACCCACCGCATCCAGTTATTCACGGCACATGGTGCCAACCTAGTCCCCGCATCCTAACATTTATACAGGATGCTTGCTGCGCGAGCCCTATTCAGAAGCTGCTTAGGCCGAGGCTGTAAGTTCCAGCAACTCCGATTCTTCAGAAGCTTGAACCGATGTGAAAACGACGTCGCTGTGCAGCATCTTCCGAATATGTGTATTCCGAGCCGTTCATGTTTATCACATATCTTCAACACGCCGTCTCGTTTGGCGATTCAGCCCAGACCCTTGAGCCGGAGATTGGCTTAAAAAGACATCGGGTTGGGTCGGGCCCCACATTTGCCAAATTCTGAAAGGGTCCATATGGGCTTTGTGTTCTTGCAGTAGCAGCAGTCGTCGTCGCTGTCGTAGTAGTATCAGTAGAAGTAGTTTTTGTCACCCACAGTAGCAGTAGTAGTAATAGCAGCAGTAGTAGTAGTAGTAGGTCGTCATTTCGTGGGCCTCGGAACTCATTTAATGAATTCAGTATTCGGAGCATGATAAATCCAGAAGAGCGGACAGGATCAAAGCGGAGCAGGACGAGAAGGATGCGGTCGGAAAAAGAGAAGTGTAGTCGACAAGCAGACAATCTGAGGAGTGTACGAGCGAAGCATAAACGCAGAGAAGCAGAAAGCGTGAACAACAGAAAAGCGGAAATGCAAAAGCAGAATCAAGAACAAGCAGAAAACGAGAAGCAACTAAAGGCAGAAGGCAGAAAGAACAGCGGAAAAGCAGGCGAAGCAGAAAAGCAAAAGCGCAAACAAGCAGAAAACTACCTAGAAAGGGAAAACCGGAGCAAAGCCAACAACAAAAATTCAAAAATAAAACACAATCTGAAAAACAAATACTTCCCACATTAAACTTGCAGTAGCCCATTCCACGTTGTCCGGTAGTGCATGAACTGCAGAGTACAGCTGAGCTGCCAAAATGTGTGGCCAAACGAGGTCGTGCTGTCACGAACCCTATGGCGTGCCTGTTGAGGTGCAGCCATCTGGCCGGGAAAGCCTTCGTTGCCCACACTGGGCTCAGAAACCTCTCCGCGTGGAGCACGGGCGGCTGCTTCATGGAACGACTTCCTTCTTTCGTGCCTCTGCGCCTGTGGCAAGACACTGGCCGGAGTGGTTGCCACCAAGCTGTGGCTCCGGGGACGCCTGCTGGCAGGTTTCGGTCGACAAGAAATAAATTCACCCTTTCATCAGGTAAACAACCTCATTTGTGACTTGACTGACAGAAGAGACTGTCTGACACGTGACGTATTTCGAACTTGGCATGGGCAATATATTCATTAGGTGTTTAACTTCATGCAGCAGGCCCCTGCGGGACTGGACAACTGCCTGTCACAAGAGGGTAGGCAATTGTCTGTGTGTGCGAGAAGGTTATAAAGCACCACAACCCGTACTTGCTCTCATACTATATGATTATACATGAACAAAAGAGTGTCTCTGCAGCGAAAATTTTGAAAAGGCCTGCCCGGAAGGGCTTTGGCTCTGCTCCGGCACACTCGCTAACAACTATAGTCCTGCTCAGGAACACTATCGGCCAAACTCCGAAAACACAACTGCATGACGAAGATGGCCGAAGGGTGTGTCCGTTCCATGGTCCAAGCTTCAACTTCAGATCAATAGATTCGCAGACTTGTCCTACACAGTATAATATCTCAATGGAGCAGGTTGTTGGTCTAGCAGATGTCTAGCAGTCTGGCACATGCTCAGCTGCACTTCCCTGTGCAATATTCCAAGCCCTTTCCGGCCTCTGTGGGTGTCGCAAGGCACTGCCCACACTGGCTGCCACTGTCCACAGGCTCCTGTGGAGGGAAAACTTCATGTTACATGGGCCCAGTTGGGTGTGTGCAGACTGGACTGTAACAGTCACACATGCGATTGCAACTGCAGGGAAATGACTGCCCAAAGCCAACACCGTACAGAACACAGTACACAGCACGGGAGGCTTTCTGACAAGTCGTGAAAGCCGAACGTGCATGTCGCGAGCAGTGGGGGAGGGAGCCGCTGGGCGCAGGGAATTAGGAAATATTAGAATTGTTTTTTGTGTTTTTCCTTTCCCAGAGCAGCTGCAACCATGGGCAGGTAGACATTCCCTTCTAAACTCACATTATTCACACTTTTCTTCACGCTTTACGTAACCCACCGCATCCAGTTATTCACGGCACATGGTGTCAACCTAGTCCCCGCATCCTAACATTTATACAGGATGCTTGCTGCGCGAGCCCTATTCAGAAGCTGCTTAGGCCGAGGCTGTAAGTTCCAGCAACTCCGATTCTTCAGAAGCTTGAACCGATGTGAAAACGACGTCGCTGTGCAGCATCTTCCGAATATGTGTATTCCGAGCCGTTCATGTTTATCACATATCTTCAACACGCCGTCTCGTTTGGCGATTCAGCCCAGACCCTTGAGCCGGAGATTGGCTTAAAAAGACATCGGGTTGGGTCGGGCCCCACATTTGCCAAATTCTGAAAGGGTCCATATGGGCTTTGTGTTCTTGCAGTAGCAGCAGTCGTCGTCGCTGTCGTAGTAGTATCAGTAGAAGTAGTTTTTGTCACCCACAGTAGCAGTAGTAGTAATAGCAGCAGTAGTAGTAGTAGTAGGTCGTCATTTCGTGGGCCTCGGAACTCATTTAATGAATTCAGTATTCGGAGCATGATAAATCCAGAAGAGCGGACAGGATCAAAGCGGAGCAGGACGAGAAGGATGCGGTCGGAAAAAGAGAAGTGTAGTCGACAAGCAGACAATCTGAGGAGTGTACGAGCGAAGCATAAACGCAGAGAAGCAGAAAGCGTGAACAACAGAAAAGCGGAAATGCAAAAGCAGAATCAAGAACAAGCAGAAAACGAGAAGCAACCAAAGGCAGAAGGCAGAAAGAACAGCGGAAAAGCAGGCGAAGCAGAAAAGCAAAAGCGCAAACAAGCAGAAAACTACCTAGAAAGGGAAAACCGGAGCAAAGCCAACAACAAAAATTCAAAAATAAAACACAATCTGAAAAACAAATACTTCCCACATTAAACTTGCAGTAGCCCATTCCACGTTGTCCGGTAGTGCATGAACTGCAGAGTACAGCTGAGCTGCCAAAATGTGTGGCCAAACGAGGTCGTGCTGTCACGAACCCTATGGCGTGCCTGTTGAGGTGCAGCCATCTGGCCGGGAAAGCCTTCGCTGCCCACACTGGGCTCAGAAACCTCTCCGCGTGGAGCACGGGCGGCTGCTTCATGGAACGACTTCCTTCTTTCGTGCCTCTGCGCCTGTGGCAAGACAGTGGCCGGAGTGGTTGCCACCAAGCTGTGGCTCCGGGGACGCCTGCTGGCAGTTTCGGTCGACAAGAAATAAATTCACCCTTTCATCAGGTAAACAACCTCATTTGTGACTTGACTGACAGAAGAGACTGTCTGACACGTGACGTATTTCGAACTTGGCATGGACAATATATTCATTAGGTGCTTAACTTCATGCAGCAGGCCCCTGCGGGACTGGACAACTGCCTGTCACAAGAGGGTAGGCAATTGTCTGTGTGTGCGAGAAGGTTATAAAGCACCACAACCCGTACTTGCTCTCATACTATATGATTATACATGAACAAAAGAGTGTCTCTGCAGGCGGAAATTTTGAAAAGGCCTGCCCGGAAGGGCTTTGGCCCTGCTCTGTCTAACAACTATAGTCTCAATGAGTGTATCTTGCATCTGTGCTGACCCAATCCCCTGCTCAGGAACACTTTCGGCCAAACTCCGAAAACACAGCTGCATGATTCATGATGAAGATGGACGAAGAGTGTGTCCGTTTCAAGGTCCAAGCTTCAGCTTCAAATCAATCGGTTCGGAGACTTGTCCTACACAGTATAAAATCCCCATGGAGCAGGTTGTTGGTCTAGCAGTCTAGCACATGCTCAGCTGCACAGTCGCGTTGAGGTGGCTGCGCTAGCACGACTTGTGCAAGGATCTCGCAAACCCCTTGTGCGCCTGTGCAGGTGCAGGCCATTGCTCGGCAGAACCCTGGCTCCTGAAGCTGGGAGCATCAGCGGCGGGAACCTTCGCGAGTTTGCGCAGCTGTTTCGGGGAACGACTTCTGCAACTTCCATTCCATGTGCAGCATTCCAAGCCCTTTCTGGCCTCTGTCTGTGTCGCGGGCTCCTGTGAAGGGAAAACTACATTCACTGTAACGGTCACACATGCCATTTCAATTGCAGGTAATAATATGACTGCCCAAAGTCAACACCGTACACAGGAGGCTGTTGGACACGTCGTGCAAGCCTCACGTGCCTTTCGCGAGCAGTTAAGGGAGGGAATTATTTAAGCGTTTTAATGGGGGGGAGGGCGGGGGCAGGGGGAGCGGAGCAGAATTTGATTGTTTTAAATCCGAGGGGGGCACGGGCCAGGCCTTTGAGGGCGGGCCGGCAACTCAGTCCTCAGCACTCCTATTGCGAAATCAATCCTGCAAACAAGACAGCAAAAAAAAAGTTCGTTGGTCTCAACCCGAAGACCACCGCCAACAAAACTCTGCTTTTCTGCCTGAACTCTAAGACACCAAACCTTTCAGACCTCATCGCCTATTGAGCATCCTGGAGGATTGCCAACGCAGCGTGGGCACCTTTAAACCCAGTACACTGGTAACACTCTTCTTGGACAAATTGCGATTCCCAACATCAGCGTGCCTCGGTCCGCACCCACCTGAGAACAAGGTGTTCTTCGCTGCAAATCCCGTCCCAGTTGGCCACATTGCTTACAACCGTCAATTGCTGGATCCTGTAGCATGTAAACCAAGGTCGAGATGGGTCGAGCAGCGTTATCCGTGGGTTGCTGAAAAATGGCGTGAGTTGTGGGAGGCACTTGCCAGACTTGAAATCGAAAGTCTGCAAATTGGGGCCAGACGCTGGGACCTTATGTAGCACTTTGTCACCGAGGGACTGTGGTTTACAGACAATTAGCTCTCGCATGTGGGAGCCCGCACAACAGCAAGCATTTCGCACCATTAAGGTCCGCCAGCACCATCGTCATCACTGTATGTGCCACATTTGTGCCACCTTATAATTCTGAAGGAAAGGCCACACACTCAGCCGGCTAAGGGCGCCCTTCCCTTGATCGTCGCGCCAGACATGTCTGACTGCGACCCAGACCCAAGGGCCGCAAGCCACAGCTGAAAGGTTTAAAGGTTGCAAAGGATTTGGGTTGAGAGTTTTGTTTTGGGTTTTGGTTTCAAGTGTTGGAAAAGAAAGTTAACACCGAGAGCCCCGTAACTATATCAGTATCGCCCCGCGGCAGAAAACTTGCACAAGGACGGGGTCCGCACAGCCAGTCATTGCCGCCGAGCCGGTTCGGCCTGTGAGAGACCGGAACTTGCTCCGAACATGAGCATCTGCAAGTCATTGCTGGGCATTTCGAGGGTTTGTGATGCATTCCTGATTGCTTCAGTCGCGTTCTCACGAATCCATGCTGCCTTTGGGCCCTTTGGTGACTGCTACGAGGCTTGGCCAAGCAAGCCAAGCTTTCAGTCAGAAGCTTCGAAGACGCGCGCCAGATAGACCTTCAACGTTCAATGTCCAACACTGACGTTTACTGTTCACAAGCCTCAAATTGTGCCGAAGTGCACTTCAGCAACACATCCGTCCCACGAGGGCCTGCAGAAGACGCTGTTGCCGTCGTAGCGGCGCCACAGTGTCCATTGCGCAACCTGCAAGGCAGTCGGATTAGGACTGTCGACCCCGGAGCGAAGATCTTGCTTTGCGATTCCGCACTTGTGGGTTGGAACTTGTGCAGGCGTGAGTAGGCTCACAGCAGAAACACATTTAGCAGGGTCTGGATGCCAAACGTCGATGCTCGCTCCAAGTCTTTATACTCAGGCATGCTCTTCAAGCAAGATCAGGCGCCGGGGAACACAGGGGTAGGAGTACGGTCAAGAGTGGGAGAAAGAGTAAGGGTAGGGCAGGAGTAGACTAGGAGTAGGAGGTGAGGAGCACCAGCAGAAGAGGTAGGAATGAGAGTGGGAGCGAAGTAGGAGTAGAAGAAGGAAAGCAGCGGGAAAAGAAGTGTTTTGTTGCAACTACTCTAATAGAATGGTTATGTTACACTACTGGTGCCAACACTATCCAGTGTTCTCTACTGTCAGTTATCATGACGCACCGCTTGCTTGCGTTTGACTCTGCTTACCCGGGTCATGTTGTGCATTTATCGCTTAAGTGCAACCTCCCGGAGCCACAAACCCAAACCATCGCCCATCGTATGCACACTCGCCCAACACAAGGAAGAACCCCGTAAACCCTGCACAAATCCTAGCGCCGTTCCGCTTACCCAAACAGAACTTGGAAGCCGGCGGCAGCGCTGCTTGGCTGGCTTCCTGACTGTTTGCCAGGGCTTGCAAACATTCGTGCAAACTCGAACGCTTCTCCATAAGCACCATTGCAAACGCTGCTTGGCTGCGACTGCCGCCGCGTCCACGAATACGACGACTTCTGCTGCTGGTGATGCTGCCGCGACTGCTGCTGCTGCGATAGTGCGTCCAGTTCTGTCCTGCAGTCTCTGCGGGCCTCTCCCCTCTCCCCCCCCCGGTCCGGAAGCCCCCCCCACCTTTGGAATCGGATTGCACAGGGGTTGATCTGCCTCTCCAGTTCGTGCTTGTGGAATCCAGCGACAGTAGATGGGGAATGGTGCCAGTGATGTGCATGTCGAGTGGGTGCTTCTGTAATCGAGCGTCTAGACGGGGGAATGGCTGGTTTTGATGTTTTCTGCTGCCACTGGTGTCTGCCTTTCGTTTGCGCTGGTGGAACCGAGCGTATGGCTCGTTTTGATGTGTGCTACTACTACTACTACGACGACGACTACTACGACGACTACTACTATCACAACTACTACCACAAGTACGACTACTACGACTACTACATACTACTACTACTACTACGACGACGACGACTACTACTATCGCAAGTACTACCACAAGTAACTACTACATACTACTACTACTACTACTACTACTACTACTACTACTACTACTACTACTACTACTACCCTACTACTGCTACTGCTACTGCTGCTGCTACTACTACTACTACTACTACTACTACGACTACTACCACTACTACTACTACTACTACTACTACTACTACTACTACTACTAGTACTACTACTACTACTACTACTACGAGTACTACGACTACTACTACGACTACTACTACGACTACCACTACTACTACTACCACTACTACTACCACTACTGCTACCACTACTACTACCACTACTACTACCACTACTACTACTACTACTACTACTACTTCTACCACTACCACTACTACTACTACTACTACTACTACTACTACTACTACCACTACGACGACGACGACTACTACTACTACCTACCCCCCAACCCCGCACCCGCCGACCGTCCTGCCCCCCCAACCCTTCCATATCCGAAGCTCGAGTTTGCAAAAGTCCGCAGTAGCAGTAGCAGTAGTAGTAGTAGTAGTAGTCGTAGTAGTAGTAGTCGTAGTAGTAGTAGTAGTAGCAGTAGTAGTAGTAGTACTAGTACTAGTACTAGTAGTAGTAGTAGTCGTAGTAGTAGTAGTAGTAGTAGTAGTAGTAGTAGTAGTAGTAGTGGTTGTAGTTGTAACTGTCGTCGTAGTAGCTGCAGCACTAAACTCCTAGTCGTACTAGTAGTACTAGTAGCACTAGCAGTAGTAGTTAGAACAGCAGTAGTAGTAGCAGTAGTAGTAGTAGCAGTAGTAGTAGTAGTAGTAGTAGTAGTAGTCGTAGTAGTAGAAGTAGTGGTGGTAGTAGTTTACCTAGTTGTTGTTGTGGTGTAGCATGGTGTAGCAAAGGATCCGTAGTCGTCGTGTAGTGGGGTGGTGGTGATCGTGGTAGTGGTATAGTGGTAGTAGTACTGGTAGTGTTTAGGGTTGGAGTTTTTGTGAGGGTGGTTGGAATGCAGTTTTGGGCGTGTGGGGGGTGGGGGGGGGGCGGGGCTGTGGGGGGAGGGGGGGAGGGTCGGTTTCGCATGAGCTGTTTTTTTGCGCACTCTTATGCCCTATGTTTCAAGGGCAGCCGTCACATAGTTGTTCCAATGCTTGTTCTCGACATCCACGCGGCCTTCGACACCCATCACGGAAGCAAGTGCAAACTTGCATTGATCGAAGCTTGGCTTTAGGCCTGGCAAACCGGATTTGCGCTTTGATTTTGGGTTTCTAGCATTGGAGTTTAGCTTTCAAGGCAACATAGGCAACACAGAGTTTCGTACGTGTAAAATGCGAACCTGGCGTATTTGGTCAGGGCAAACGGATATATCTGCGTAATCTCTCCATCCCTACCCTACAAGCATGA